CTATTTTATTTTTTGTGGCAGGGCCAGTGAAAATGTTGGCAGGGCAAGTAAAAATTTGAACCACTAGAAAAAATCCTTAGTGTTGATCCCTGCTATATAATGCAGAATATCATGGAATTTGGCAAATTCTGGATGAATAAATCAAAATAAAGGCTATACACTTAAATAGTGATATGGACTAATGTCTGTGAATATTAAACTGCAGAACAATTTAAATATAATGTCTGCATGTTCTGCCTTTCTCTGTGTGATGGCAGTTTTGTCTACTACACACATACTGCATGCGCGACGCTCGTTTTTTTACAGTGATTGCCATCTCAATATATTAGGATATGAACTCCATAATGTCCAGAGCTGCTCTGAGAATCACTTCACCAGCATTTCACCATTTCATTTGAGATAACTATTGCCAGATACACACAGAAACGCAAAGTCTTCTATATAACCCACCAAAATAAAAGTTTGGTTTATCTTGAGGAGATTATTACAGAAATATTACTATTGTACAGTGAAGACCCAACTCTATGCGTGTTCTGCAAGACCCCCCTTTCTATTAAACATTCTTTTGGACTGTCCTGGTTTTAATGCAAGTAGAAAGCTCTTTTATGAAGGTAGTTCACTTAAGGACTTATTTAGTAAGATTTTGCCTGAAAAGGTTTTAGAGTTTTTATCAAATGTTAATTTAAAAAATCTTGTATAATATTACTTGCTGTGTTTGTTTGTTTGCTTGGTTTTTATTGTATTTGTGATATTTGCATTTTTGTAATTGAGTTTTTGGCATGAAAATAGCCCCAGATGCTGACATGGCATTAAATAAAATTATACTACTACTACTATTGTACATTAAAATGCACTTCTCAAAGTAATACAATTAAAACTTTATTTTTAAATGAATAATCACACTATTTTCCTCCATGTTTTAGTTTTAACAGTAAATCTCTGTTGTACAGCACAATCCCCCCCCTCAAAAAATTATTTTGATTACATTTTAAAAGATTAAATTGTTGATTACCACTTCATTTTTATTGTAGCTGTATTACGTATGGGGTCCTTGGCCCTAGGGCTCGGCAATAAATGATATCATATTGAGATAAAATTTATGTCTATAAAGATAAGCTCTGGACGTTTTTACTCTGTATGGCTTAACCTAACAGCAGAAATTAATGCAACAACAGCCAGTCAGTGCTTGTCGCTAATAGGCTAAGGCCCAATCCCATTTCTACCCCTTAGCCCTTCCCATTTCCCCTAGCCCTCCGTTTTGCGCATTCACGTGAAGGGGTAGAGGTGTCTCGATTCTCTTTTGGTTGGAGGGGTGGGGGAAGGGCCAGACAGCCCTTCAAACGAAGATTTTTCAGGACCACACTTCAAACGAAGGGGTATGAATCATCTCAGCATAAACGGCAACATGGCTGCCCATTACTCAAAGAAATGTTTGCAAAAAATCGCTAAAGTTTGCTAACGTCATATCATTAGTGCCACAACATATTTTCATGTCTGATCAGGACGATAATCACCATAGACACTGAGGGGGGGCTAGTCCCCCAATAATTAGAAATCGCTAAACCTTTTTCTCAAATATTGCCAATTTGAGAGAGAGAGAGATGAAAGTTGCGCGTCTGTGCGTCTCTCTTTACAACAAATGAGTTTACTTCAAAAACAGTGATTTTATCCTCTCGTCGCTGGAAAATATAATGTAGCGATTCAATATTTAAACTGTTATTAATAAAAGTTGCGGGATAGCGTTGACAAGTTTCTTTTCTCCTAGATGCGTGAGCTGCGCTCCTGGATGTGTGAGCTGCGCGATATCTAATGTGTGTGTGTCAGTAAGCAGCACATTAATATAGAACGGTAATTAAAGGTTCTAATGCACACCAGCACAGCAGTAAAGGTGTGTATTGTAGGAGCTAGATGACATATGATGACGTGTGACGGCATAGTAGTGGTGTCCCAATTCTTAGGGGAATATTTTCAGGGGGGGCAAGGGGTATAAAATAGAATTGGGATTGGGCCTAAGTTTATGTTAGAGATGCACCAATCAACTGGCCAGGGACTCGAATCAGCCAATTTTCCGCATGCTCGGAAAATCGGCTGGTCAGTCTCATGTTTCTCCGATTCCGAGCCGGTTCATTTTGAGTGATAGAGAGACATCAAAACAAATGGAGAAATCAAAACAAATGAGCACAACAGCACACACAAAGTAACTCACAGAAAGATATAGAAGCATACTGCAGTAGAAAAAAAAAAATTATATATGATATAGGTAAGCAGCATCACAGGACCAAGGTGTTTTCCCCAATATCAGCTTGATTGCAATGTAACATTGATTTTTTATAATAGTAGTACAATAAACAAGTTAATATTAAGTGACTTACATTTTAGACACAGTATTGACTGTTTGCTCAATTTCACTAACGAAAAAAATTACAAGCCACAGAAGAACTGGTGTCTCCGAGCAACACAGCGGTGTTTCGTTTCTGAATTCACGTTTTTGAATGAATCGAGTGAGTCACTGATTCAGTGACTCATTCATAAAGACAGTCACTTGCCTAGTTTCTGAATAAATCAGCCGTTTGAACGAATTAGATGAATGAATGACTCTCTCATTAAAACAGTAATTTGCCGCCACCTACTGGGGGGTTATTTTCATATTTAAAAGTATCATTGCATTTTTCCCAACATTTACATTGTCATTTAGCAGACACTTTTATCTAAAGCTTTTATCCATAGAAAAACAAGTAGATAGAATAGAAAAAGAATAGAGAATGCTAGTGTCAGAGGCTCTCTCCCTCGTTTTTTTTTTAAAGACAAGTAGTAAGAATAGAATAGAAAGTGCAAGTGTTAGAGGGTCAAGGGTGTTAGAGGGTCAGTTATCATCTGTGTTAGAGGGTCTGCAATCGTCAGATCATCAGGATGGAATGAGAGGTAGAGATGAGTGTCATCAGCATAGCAGTGATATGAAAAAGAGGAATTCCAGCATTATGGATGTGATAATCTGCAGTCAAAATGCTAAATAAATTCTCATAGAAAGCACAGTGCACAGTACACTGCAAAAAATGGCTTATCGAGGGAAGAGCGGGGTGATTTGAGCCTGTAGGGAAGTTGAGTCACCCATTGTTTCTGGGCAGCCATAAACAAAATTGGTGATGTGACCACAAATAAATTAATATTT